CCCCCCCTTCCGCTTTTTCTTTACTTTGTCTTTGAGGTTCCTTATCTTTCCAGACCAAATTAATATCATTGCTGCCTGCCATTCTTTTAAACAACCGCATTAATATCTTTTGAAGCATATTTCTCTTGTTTATCAATAATTCCTTTTCTTTCACTATGTGTATTTATAACGCCAGTGGTAACAACAGTAAATTTACCGAACATTTTGTGGCGATCCATACTTTTAAAACTTTCCCTGAGTGGTATGACGTTGAATGTTCATTTGCTATAACTATAATGAAGACATCCATATTTTTGAAAGAACAGAAACAATAGCAACAGTTGTGAGAGAAGCAAAAGGAAAAAAAGACAAAATGACAATGGCATCACATCTAGTGTTTTTGTGACATCTCGTGTGCAATCCTAAGTATCGATAGGAAAATAATATCATACGATCCTTGATACTACGATATTTCTAGCTACGATATCTAACTCCTCACCAGAAAGAGTTCACACCTGAGGACCAAACCGAAACTTTCGATTTTGTAACACAAACAATCAGTTACGAAGAACTTAACCTTTCTGACATGGGCATGGGTAGTTAGTGGGTATTTTTGCTGTACGAACATTGAGATTACAAATCATCATGGGAAACTGGCAGTTGGAGGTTTTTCGGGTAAGGTTGTAACGTATCTCATGATGTAAAAAAATGAACATTAAATTCTTTATCGGTTAGAAACTGTACTTTGCAGTCTAGATTCTAGATCAGAATCTAGATTCTAGATCTAGTTTGTGTTGACTTTGACTTCACTTGTTCATTGTTATTGTTGTTACGTATTATTATTGAATAGTATTTTATGTTTTTGATAAGTGATTTTCCACAAATTTCCACGTTATGATAGGAATATAATGATGTAGATCTGTCCTTTAGTCAGTAAAAGTGATAGATCAAGATAAATTTGAAAGTGGCTATTCTCACCGGCCACCTCTATATTCTATTCTCACCCGGGGTGAGAATAGTGCAGGCGGGTCTTGTGGCTATTCTTACCCGGTGCGCGTGTCAACAAATTTT